TCATCACATAGGTCAGCTGGTCTCGAACTCCTGACCTCAAGTGATCCACCTCCCCAGCCTCTCAAAGTGCTGGGATTCGAGGCATAAGCCACCATGCTCGGTGAGATTTCATTTTTTAAAATTGAAGACTTAACCTTTTCAGAGCAACCGTACAAGCAACGTACAAATAAGGGATGATAACATCAGCACCAAACTACACACTTATTCATTTCTGGGTTAATTCTGTGGCTCCTGTAACTTTAGTTCTTCATTTTACTTTCTCACCTACTTGTACTTTGTTACCTGTTATAATAAGCCACCTTATATCCTTTTGTGAAAAAAGATTTGCTTATTTGGAATCGATTGCTGGCACCCAAGTGAATAACACGAACAACAAACCAAAAAAATGCTTTTTTAAAAAGAGAACTCCAAAAGCACTTTAACATGCCCTTCCAGGAGATAAGGTGAATAAGGCCAAAGGGACCTTCTAGATGCTTTGTTGCTAGCCCAAACCCCACTCTCCATTTACTTGAAGGCACACAGGTTTCTGCCAACTCAATTATTCAGGTCTTAAGGACCTACCAGCCTCAGTCAAGGAATTACATACATCTGCTTGTCAAGGACAGGTCTTCGCAGACTTTTCATCTACATGCCTGGCATATAGCTGAAGTCAAATAAAGACTTTTGTAGTTTTTTTGAGAAAGGGTCTCATTCTGTTGCCCAGGCTGGAGTGCAGTGGTGCCATCTCAGCTCACTGCAACCTCTACTGCCCGGGTTGCAGCGATTCTCATGTCTCAGGCTCCCGAGTAGCTGGGATTACAAGTGTACACCACCACGCCTGGCTAAATTTTGTATTTTCAGCAGAGATGGGGTTTCGCCATATTGGCCAGGCTGGTCTTGAACTCCTGACCTCAAGTGATCTGCCTGCCTCAGCCTCCCGAAGTGTTGGGATTACAGGTGTGAGCCGCAGAGCCTGGCCTGATGATGAAATGACACAGGCTCCTAGAAATGTTTACTGGTGAATGAGCTCGTGCAGCGCTCTGCTACAGCAGCTCCTCTGCGAGTCCATGTGGGACTTGCAGGTCTCAGCAGTTGCACTTACAACAGCAGAGTATGGAATCAGCTTGATAATCATTTAAAACTCTCACCTATGAACATCTAAACCCCATTAAAGCAAAAATATCATTTGGAAAAAAACAAAAAAAGGCAGATTCTGATTTGATACGTTTCGGTGGGGGCTGATGTCTAACGAGCTCCCAGGTGATGCCTGGCGGCTGCTGCCTGTGGACCACCCTTGAGCTTCGAGGCACCCAAGGCCTGAAGAGCCTGGTGATGCTCTGACTGAGCCACATGCAGAGACATGAACTGCCAAGGAATTCACTTTGGCAGAGAGGGGAATGAGGGTTTCTGGCTGTTTGGCTTAGTATTTATTTCTATCCCAAAATAGCAGGTTGATCTTCTCCCCAGCTGACAGGCGTCCAGGCTGGTTTGAAGTGGAGATTGCTCCAGAGTGGGGTGGAGGGCCTTGCAGAGGGTGGCCACCTGCTCAGGAAGACCTGGGCCGCACTCCAAGTCTTCACTGAAGCACTGGAGGCGCAGGAGGAGATCCTCTGGCAAGTCCCTTCCAGGTGCATGCTAGCTACAACACTAAGTCCAAGGGTGACAGTAAATGTTTCCTCCTTTCCTACTGCAAGGGACAGATGTCATCACTGAGGAGAAATAGGATCAGTGTTCATATCTGGACACCAGCAAGAGGCCAGACAGCTTGTGACTTCATACAAAATGTTTTCATTTATTTTATTTGCGGCCAGGTGCGGTGGCTCATGAGTGCAATCCCAGCACTTTGGGAGGTCGAGGCTGGCGGATCACAAAGTCAGGAGTTCTAGACCATCCTGACCAACATGGTGAAATCCTGTCTCTACTAAAAATACAAAAATTAGCTGAGCTTGATGGCGTGTGCCCGTAATCCCAGCTACTCAGGGCCTGAGGCAAGAGAATCTGGGTGATAGAGGTTGCAGTGAGCCGAGATTGTGCCACTGCACTCGAGCCTGGGCAACAGAGCGAGACTCTGTCTAAAAAAACTTTATTTGTAAAATGTCCTTACTGCTGAAACTAAAACCATTATCAGGTTCTATTGCTTAAGACTTAAGAAATCTTCAGAGATTTTTCTAAATCAAATCAACCTAAGTATTAATATTTCTCCCCGGCCAGGCGCAGTGGCTCACGCCCATAATCCCAGCACTCTGGGAAGCTGCGGCGGGAGGATCAAGAGACCGAGACCATCCTAGCCAACATGGTGAAACCCCGTCTCTACTAAAAATGCAAAAATTAGCTGGGCGTAGTGGCACATGCCTGTAGTCCCAGCTACTCAGGAGGCACAGGCAGGAGAATTGCTTGAACCCAGGAGGCGGAGGCTGCAGTAAGCCAAGATCGCACCACTGCACTCCAGCCTGGCGCCTGGCAATACAGCGAGACTGTCTTAAAAAAAAAAAATTTCGGCTGGGCGCGGTGGCTCAAGCCTGTAATCCCAGCAC